AGAAGAAGAAGAAGAAGAAGAAGAAGAAGAAGAAGAAGAAGAAGAAGAAGAAGAAGAAGAAGAAGAAGAAGAAGAAGACAACAGATGGTGGTTTTTGTAGAATCTCCTTTAAAGAATTACACATTGGTATACTTTGCTAATAATTGTTTCACCAGGGAAAATAGTAGGGCCAGTTCAGCCCCTATATTGAGTAGATTGAGAGTGCTTCCTAAGATAGCAGATGCTGCAAAGATCCATAGAAGCAAGCAAAAGTAGGTTTTGTACAGCATTTCCATTCCAGATATCAATTTCAAAAATGCTAAGGCTAGGGTTAGGGCTAGGATTGATCAAATCAAACACCGAAATTTTATTTTATTGTTTTATTTTTATTTATTTTATTTTATAAATGACTTTAAAAGTGCACGTTTTCAGTGAATGCTGAGGACATATGTTCCCATTGCTTCTCTATCAATTTGCAATGGAAAATGGGCATCCTTACATTTGATTCTGTCTTGCTGTGCTCCTAATTACAGGATTGTGGAGTTACTTCCATAGTACCCTACTTCCAAAATATGCTACAGAGAGAAATGGACTAAATGTCATCAGTGGGCCTATTTTTGATTATAATTATGATGGGCACTTTGATTCTTATGACACAATCAAACAGTAAGTAAATTTAAAAGGCTTAAAAGTAAACCAATATCTTAAATTTCCTTATTTGCTTAGAATAATTTCACATGCAATAAATGTAATTGGCTTTAGCAGTTTTGCCAATGAACATAACATTACACATCATTCCACAGATTATTTCATCCAGGCAATTTTACAGAATCAAGTTTACTGTTGTTAAGACAGTAAAATTTAAATGGCTATCTTTAATCTCACGAATATGGTATATTTCTGTGTGTCTAAAGGTAGTCCTTGACTTATGAATGGCCAATTAGTGATGTTTAAAGTACTGACTGAACTATCTTGGAGGTCCTTATGACCTAATTTGAAGTTCTGACAGTCAGGAAACCCCTGCAGTCACATGACTACACCTCAGGCTGCATTTATGGCCATTTGCAGCATCCCACAATCATGTCACTGCTTTTATAACTTTGCCCAAAATCAGAATTTGCTTCTAGTTTTCAATAAAACCATACCCAGAGCAGATCATTGGTTCATTTAACAACTATGGCATTCTTATTCTCTTGCAGGTATGTAAACAATACAAAGATTCCCATCCCAACCCATTACTTTGTTGTGCTGACTAGCTGTGAGAATTCAACCAAAAGTCCACTAAATTGTCCACCAGGCTCTTTGAAAGTTTTGTCTTTTATTCTCCCTCATCGTCCTGACAACTCAGAGAGCTGTGCTGTAAGTGTGGTAACACTGATTTCCAAACATTTTGCCTTACAAACTCCTACGAATTTAGGATTTTTTTTTTAAAATTTCCATAATGGGACCTAGCCTATTAGATTCTTCTAATGTGCTGGGTTATTAGACTATTGTCTTAATAATCATTAAGTTCAACAGTTTTTTGAACTAAATACAGTTGAATTGAAAAATTATTTTTAATGTCTGATTCTGCCTCCTCCTCTTCCTCCTCCTCCTCCTCCTGTATACCTACAGGAATAAGGATTAGGATCTGTTATGAAACAGTGGCTAAGAAGCTAAAATACAAATCTGTAGTCCAAGGTTTACACTGCACTTCTATTACAAATGCAGCAGATGGTCTTAATCAAAACAAACTGCTTAGCCCAGACTCTTGTCTGCAATACAGGAATGTACGCTAGAATATTACATGGAAATGAGTAAACTAAGTGGAAAATGCATATACTGTACTTTAAATTACAATTGCAAATGTATGTAAATAGCTTTAGACCTTCTAAATTCGAGAACTGAGAAATACCATTTTGGTCCATTTTATTTTCCCACTTAAATAAAAAAAGCATAGATCATACAATGGGAAGGGGGCATTTAGATTACTGAATCCAATCCCTTTTCAGGGAAGGAATAGAATTAAAGCATTCCAGACAGAAGCTTTCATCCAAGGAAGGAAAGGTTATCTCATCTTTAGGCAATTGGTTGTACTGCCAAACTGCTTTTGCTGTCCTGTCTTGAAGTTTTCTGGATTCTGTAGCACCCAGTCAAAATCTGCTTTTCTATAACTTCTATAGGAAATAATTAAGATTATTATTCTTTGTCCTCTGGAATGAGAGAGAACAAATCTTGATATTCTTCTATGTGACATCCTTTTAGATGTTTGAAGATGACTGCCATTCTCCCTTTCTGACATCTTTTCTCAGTGCTTAATATTCAGCACTTGCAATTTTTCTTAATACAGTTTAATTTCAACCCCCCCAGTCACCTTTGTTGCTCTTCTCTGAATCTGATCTAGTTTGTCTAAATCAGGGGTCTCCAAACTTGACAATTTAAAGACTTGTGGACCTCAACTCCCAAAATTCTTCAACTAGGAATTCTGGGAGTTGAAGTCAACAAGTTTTAAAGGGACCAGGTTTCGGGACACTTCTTAAAGTGTACTGTCCAGAATAGGATACAGTGGATAATGTGGATTTTGCCAAAGAAGAACTGTGTCAAATGGTGACTTCCTGTAATTTGAACATCATACTTCTGATGATGTAGGCTAAAATTGCATTTGTTTTCTTTGCAGCAACATCATATTGTATGCTCATATTCAGCTTGCATTCAAATGCTATTAAATAATTATTTTTCACAAGTGCTATTGGAATAGCTGGTCCTTCAGCTATAACATTTAGAAATAACTTTTTCTGTAGCTACAACTAACTTAGAAAATAGATTTTTTGGATCTGATCTATCTTGCAATATTCCTTTACTTTATTTGCCTTTAGTTTTGCCCAGCTACTAGTATATGATAAAGCTCTATTCTTCATTGTGCCCTCCTCTGTTTTCCAATGAAATGAACATTATTGCCAGAAATTTTGGTCAATGTTCATAGCATATTTTCTCAAGCTTTAATTCTGAAATTGGACAAAAGGGGGAAGGGTGCAATCTGATGAAACTACAATCAACTACAATGAACCTTTGTCATTTTCACTGTCATTTTTACTGAAGACAACAAGCAGGGAGGCACTTTGTGTTTCTACCAGTTATACTAGAATGGGATTGTATGCTCATCTAAATATCAAACAGTGTAGGCCATAAAAATCTAATAATTATCGATTAGCTCCGTGAATACCCTCTAACCCTAGACATGCTAGTCCATGAATACAGTTGATTGCTGTGACAGAATTATAACATTTTTCATTTCAAACTTAGAAGACTGGTAAGCTGCTTTACTGTTTGCTAAAACAGACCTCAAATGTTATTTTTGCTTGCTTTATCAGGATAAATCACCAGACAATCTGTGGGTTGAAGAAAGAATGCAGGCTCATACAGCACGTGTTCGTGATGTGGAGCTCCTTACTGGTCTGGATTTTTATTCAGAGCTCAAACAACCTCTCTCAGAAACCCTTCGATTGAAAACATTCCTGCCTATATTTGTAAACTCAGTTAACTGAATGTAAATCTAGGGCTATTCCAGAAAAATGGCTCTTAGCATCAGTGCTATTAATAATAATAAAAAACCACTATTGTGTAAGTATTTGTTTTCTCTCTCCTTGTTGTGTCCGCATGCATATTGAAAACAAGATTAAATAAATGCTTGGAAACCCTAAAATGATTTCAAATAGAATGCTCTTCTGGACAATTCTTCCAGAGCAGTGGTTCTCAACCTGTGGGTCGCAACCCCTTTGGGGGTCGAACGACCCTTTCACAGGGGTCGCCTAAGACCATCGGAAAACACATATTTTCTATGGTCTTAGGAACTGAGCCATAATCTTATGGTTGGTGGTCACCACAATATGAGGAACTGCATTAAAGGGTCGTGGCATTAGGAAGGTTGAGATCCACTGTCCCAGTGGGAGAAGTGATTCAGCTTCATCCAGAAGTATCCTTGAGTTTGAAATACTGCTTAAATTATTGAACCAGTCTATTTTCAAATAAATTGTTCTACATTTGAAATGGATTGTTTGTTTCACTTTCAAAATAATTTGCATTTGAGATGCTTTGTACACCACCAGTTCTAGACTTGAAATCCACAGTATGAAGGATGCTTGGACTGGAGAAAAGTGATTAAGTAAGCAAGTCACTTTCTTCTACCACATTTATCTCCTGAAGGAGGGAAAGAAACGGGAATTTTCTGTAGCTAAAATATTAGGAAATGGTTAATTTCTGATACATAGAAATTGAGTGTTTTCCACTCAATTTGTGATGAACCTCACTTTGCTTTCTCTGATCAAAATGAGGTGCAGGTTCACAGAACTATTAGTTTTTAATTAATTAGGTGGCTTCTCCCATAGAAAATAAGAGGATTACATCTTTTTTTTCAACAACAATTAGTCTTAGATGCTTAGCCTCTGGCTTCATTGATTTGTGCCTGCTATTTGAGCATAAAACTAATTTCAAAATTAAGTTTTAAAAAGCTGTCTTATACTAATTTGTTTATGTATAAAAAACATATTTGCTATTTCTGAAAGTATCAAAAAATTGCTGAGCATATTAATGAAATTTATTTCACAACACCTCTCATATTGGCACAGTCAGAATGTCATGTTATTATATTTTATACTCACATGAATAATGAGCTTGATAATTCAGAAGTCCACATTGCACAGTTTATGTTCCCTCCTGCATACAAAGAGTCACTTGATAGTGAGATGGGCAGCATATAAATTAAACAAACAAATTTGTAGTATCTTACAGAAATATGGGAGTTCACAGCTAACAGGCTTTTCTGTTTGCTTGTACAAAACAGTCTGGTTTCATTTTGGCAATATTTTTATTGCTAGATTGGCATAAAGTTCAGCATCTGAATTGGGTTCTTGGTTTTGTTGCCAGATAATCTTCATGCAAGATCTGGTTATTTCCCAATTAAGCCATCTAACTGTAAAATTGAGGCTGCTATGCTTTGCATAGTAGCCCAGTTATGCTGAACTAATGAATCTGATTTGGCATAGATTTTTTTTAATATGTCTGAATAGAATTTATCTGCAAATATTTGAATATGATGCAAAAAAATAAACAAACACCCATGCTTGAACTTTTCAGTTCAGTATGTGAAGAAAAATTGTCTTCACTGTGCAGTCAGTAATCAGTTTTTCTACATAGTTTCATAGAATGCTATAGTTAATACACAATGAAAGGTTAACCATAGCCAATGAATGAATTTGAAACAAGCATCTCTCATTCCAATGCTATGAAAGGACTTTCTCAAAAACTTGTAAAGATTAGTAAGCAAAAAGCTTTTATAAGGTCAAAGGTCCTTATCGTGTGTCTGGAGATGGGCATATACATTGCACAATTAGTCAACATTTAGTTATTAAAAATGGTGAAGTGACATCCAATGTCTTTTTTATTTGAACATCAAAGCAAGATAACTGGATCCCTGTTTTGCAATCAATGTTGTTATCCAAGGATCAAATGTAGAATGAATCCACATTGTTGTCTGCAATAAGACCTTTCTTAATTAATACAAACCAATCTTCCCCATTTAAAACACAACAGATGCACTGAGTCTATGACTTTCAGAATTCCCTGTCAGCATGAATTTCAGTACTAGCTTTGAGAATGCTTAGTTAGATAATTGATGTAAGCACTTTTTATACTGCTTATGTTTTCTTAAAACCATGACATCTGATTCTGTTTACACTCTCTGATGATCACAGGAAAAATGTGTTTGCCACTAAATTCAACCAGTCTAGTCAAAATGAGTGCCTTTACACATGTCTGGATTTCAGATAGCTTGGGTGGAAAGTTTGCACATGACCTCCTTCTCTGACTGCCAGCATCAATCCCTCCTCCTTGACTTCCCAAAGTTTGTACTTCAGTGTGGTAAATTAACAAGAGACTTTCACAAATAAAATTTCTCTAGAATAGGGGACAAGCGCAAAGTCCTATTTTTAAGCAAATGAGAAATTGTATTCCAGAATCATGGGACATATTTAAAAGCTTTTTATCAGTTTTCAGGGAAGCCTGTCAGTAACAATCAGTCACAAAAACGGGCTCAACTTTTTTCAGGTGTCAGGCCTATGTTTTTTGTTTGGTACTTTCAAATTGTTTTTTTGACTACTGGTGACTACTTGAACTAATCTCTGCAATTTTCTTGGCAAGGTTTTTCAAAAATGCCTTCTTTTTAGAGGCTGAAAGAGAGTAATTGGCCCAGGTCATCCAGCTAGTCTTGTGCCTAAGATGGGACTTGAACTCAGTCTCCTGGTTTCTAGCCTTGTGCCTTAATCTCTACACCAAACTGACTCCAGGCCTATGTGCTTATGTGTAAATGCATGGGTGAGTGTGAATGCATGTGTGCCCATAGTGACATCTTGTGAGATAGTTACCTTTTGTTAGGGATATACACCCTAGCAGAACGTGCAACGGCAGTCTAGCAGACAGGCAGATATGTGTGAGATAAAACGTTGTAGTAGCTTACACTCAGTAAGACAGATACACTGTGCAAGTTAAATAGTTTTTATTCCAGCAAGAGTTATAGCATAGTCAAAACAGTCCATATGTCATACACTAAGTTCAGTCAGTCCGGGGGTTATTCAGTTTGCAAAGTCCAGTGTCGAAAAAGAGTTCATTAAACTTACAATCAATCAGTCCAGTGATATATCTCTTTTGCAGTCAGAGATATGAAGAAAAATCAAACCCCTTTTCTTCTCTCAGCAAACATGCAGTTTATCACCATCAATCCTTCATTGTCAGCATTCCAGTAAAAGCCGAGGAAAACAGTGAGCTCTCTTGCTCCCTCTTATGGTGATTTTACAACCGCACCCAAAAACTTGGTTTACAGTTTAAAGTGATACATACACTTAAACTCCCTAACATAGTTTATATATTATTTTATCCAAACTAAGTTAGGTAACCAATGTTATCCCTAACACCTTTTCTAAGAGTTTCAAACTCAACCAGATTTTAGAAGCCATCTGAAATCTATCAACAGTATTGATACTGTATATGAATCTGGCTATTTAAGGTTTTTTTAAATTCAATGAGGTACTCAGAATAAAAGAGTTGGAAAGGACCTTGGAGGTTTTCTAGTCCAACCTGTCAGCTTTGGAAGCCATATTCCATGCTGTCACATAGCCTGAGAAAGTGGGAGGAGGGTGGTTTCAATTGAGTAGCTCTAAGTAGACAAAATAAAATTCTTTTGTTAGTTCAAGGTCATTGAGTATGGAGCAGGATGAAATAAGGATCTTACTTTTGGATGGATCGTGATTGGGCCATGCGATGTGATGACGGCCAAGGGGGGATGGATTTGTAGTTTGGGAAATTGTGGGAAGTCCGAAAACTTTTAGATTCGGGATTCCACAGATGTGCCAGTTGCTATTCTAATAAAGATACTTTTGAGATATGGTTGTCTTGGAGTTACTGATTGAATGGAGGTTTGCTGGAACACTGACACAATCTCCTGTTCAAGCAGGAAAACCTATACCATTTCAGACAAGTGATTGTCCAATCTCATCCTAAAAAATCTCCAATGTTGGAGCACCCACAACTTCCTTGCTTTATACTGCCACAGTAGGATATATTCAGGCATTTGGAATATAGAAAGCATTGCTTGACATGAGCTAGCAATTGCCAAAACTGGGTAGCAGCAACTACAAATCTTTTTTACATTACAGAACAAATTTTGGACCATTTTAGAACAAATCTGAAAGTGATGTGCTATATTTCTTTTTCTTAACACATGCTCAGATCAAATAATCGATTCAAAACCAATTCAAAAACTCCAAACCAAGCCTGAGATTCCTTCCATAGATCCTGAACTCTTTATTCTTTGCCTGGGAATCCCATCACCATGCAATCATCTTGTGCTTGCCATTACAGGATGGATCTCTTATGTCGGAAAATGCATTTTATCCCCCTTCTTTGAAATACATCTGGGACAATTATATGGTGAGGTGGCTGGTTTGAAAATAAATAAAGACAAAACAAAGATTTTGACAAAGAACATGCTACTGAGACAAAGAGAAGAACTGGCAGACCTGTTGAAAATCCAAGTTACGAATAAGGTCAAGTATCTGGGGATACACTTAACAGCAAGATGTAGCACATTAAAAGAGAATAATTATATTAAACTTAAACAACAGATAGCTATAGATTTGAAGAAATGGGAAAACTTACAATTGTCATTAATAGGGAGAATTTCAACAATTAAGATGAATATTTTACCCAGAATCCTATTTTTGTTTCAAACAATACCAATTAGGCTCGGAAAAGACTATTTTGAAGATTTAAATAAAATTATGCTGAAGTATATATGGCAAGGTAAGAAAGCGAGAATAAAGCTAAAGCTTTTGCAAGATGCTAGAATTAGAGGAGGTTTTGACCTGCCTAACTGGGAATTGTACTACCAAGCTGCAAATTTGATGTGGGTCAAGGAATGGATAACATTAAGAAAGACTAGATTGTTGACACTAGAAGGTCATGATTTGCTGTTGGGTTGGCACGCTTTTTTATGGTATAAGCCGGGAACTAAAACACAGGGTTATTTTAGAAGACATTATATACGGGAGTCTTTGTGGTTAAACTGGGAGAA